CTGCACTGAGCAAATGCAGGGGAAATCATACCCAGCTGTTGTATGTACCAAATAATTAGCTGAGAGCAAAAGAAGGTGCTAGGTCAGAGGCAGACAACCATTCTGGCTCAAGGCCTGTGGTGGGCTCATGTGCTTACACACAATAGAGGGCAATCCCTTCGCGCACACACCCCCTTCCCAGATGACTGGCACTGACAATCAAGATCTCCACAGCCCACCAAGCAGCTGCATGGTGGGCTAAAGGGAGCGAAACTGTGATGTGAAGACACAACAAGGAGAGAGTGTGTGTCGCTCTTGTGTGCCTCACTTCCCATGGGAGCCACACTGCCTTCAGCCCAGGAAACAGATGCTTTGGCAGACTGGGGTGGGGAGCAGGTGGCAAGGTGAAATTGGGCAATCTGTGGATACAGCCTCTGTGGGACACACAAAGCTGACATGTGCTAGGGATTCTAGTATTAACTATACATTATATTATATAGCTTGCAAATGGCCCAAGGCAGTAGTACTGTGCTCCTTAGTCGTGACTGAGATTTGCCACTTCACCTCCAATTCTTGATTTCTGATCTGCCCTCTTCCAAATTACACAAATGGATGTTGACATTTGGGCTGATATAAAAACAACAGTTGTGGTTGGTTTTTTACATTCTGTTACCAAACACAAACATCTAGATTAATATTGTCTTTGAAGTAGCAAAGTGACTTTTAAAATTATGCCCTAAAAGACTGTAACACTTCTCATTTGTACCTATACCTATACACAGTCTCAAAAACCACTACACAGTTGGAGAAATGAAGGTTTAGAGCAGCTGATCTCAATTCCCATCCCTACTTGAAAATTATTGGGGGTCTTGACAGACCACTTAATAAACTTCTTTTTATTCAGCACCAACACTTACATTTAAAAAGTGCAATATTATGAAAACCGTCAGTCCTATCCCAGACTACTGAGAAATGCCTCTTCAAATGGTAATTTTTAATGAGAAAAATATTAGACTGCGCCAGCATTGTATTATGAAAGTCACAGGCCCTAGTTCAAGTTCTTGTTAGCCTGTTTGATAAATCCAGTCCTGTCAAAAGAGCCTTGATCTCCATTGTCACTAAATATTAAAGTAATACAGGGGCAAGTACACATATTATCAACAGCTCTGCAACTTTCCTGCAGACCAGTACAGTGGTACCTCGGGTTACATACGCTTCAGGTTACAGACTCCACTAACCCAGAAATAGTACCTCAGGTTAAGAACTTTGCTTCAGGGTGAGAACAGAAATCGTGCTCCAGCAGCGTGGCGGCAGTGGGAGGCCCCATTAGCTAAAGTGGTGCTTCAGGTTAAGAACAGTTTCATGTTAAGAACAGACCTCCGGAATGAATTAAGTATGTAACCAGAGGTACCACTGTAGTCTCTGTGGACCATAATTTGAGGAGCTCTAGTTTAGAGAATTTACCACTCCATTTGCATTCACTTCCAACAGCTTGGATACACTTTCCACCCACATATGCCTATAATGTGAAGATAATAGATATGTGTGCAGCAAGGAAATTTTACTACTACATGTGAATGGAGACATTGTTTTCCCATTCTCAGCATAACTTAAAAGGAAAATTATAGAGTTGGGGCTTGTTAAAATCAAAAGGAGGGAGATGTAGAACTAGAGCAACAGAATCATGCTGAAATAAAGTTGGTTATCACATTAGAAATTATATTCTTCTTGTCCTTACATTGAACACTGAATACTTATCTGTAGCTTAATATGATTCAGTCTAAGTACAGAGTTCTCAATAGGAGAGCAATTGTACTACTTAAAACTGGTTTGAAGGGATTTCCATTCCAGACAATAGAAAAGTCTATACATGTGTATATCATTTTTGAAATAGACATTACCCATGGAGCTGTGAGTTACACACAGCCATATGGCACACTTGCCCAATACACAATTGGCAATTCCGTGTTTACAAAGAATGGCAAACTGCCTGAATGCTCAGGTGATGTCTACATATTTTTGTTTCTAATAGTCACATAAAACTGTGGACTTTTTATATAGAATCTTCTTCATCTACATTGTTGATGATTTTGTTGCGTTGGAAGGGATTCCAAGGGTCATCTAGTCCAACCCCTGGCGAACAGGCATTCTGTTGTAGCAACTGTAACCAAGGCTTAAGGTGCCATTTGTCCCCTAGCTTGTGCATCTGGGTTTCTAACACTGCTGTATAATTCATTCCATTTTATGACAACATCCAGGGCACTTCAGATGTCAGCTACAGTTATGCCATACTCTCCTACTGCCTCTCTTGAAACAGCTCCAGCCGCCACTGGAAAATTAATACTAATCAGAGATAAATACACCACCTAGTACAAGTACAACCAACAGGAGCCATTTAGGGAAAGCACAGTTATCACCAATCAATTTCTGTAATTTATCTGTATATTTTTATACTGTTTAATATGATAATACATATATGCAAGCAGTTAAACAGAATCAATACAAAACAATATTCAATAGAACTTCTTAAAAATTAGATCAAAACATAAGGTAAAGGTAAAGGTACCCCTGCCCGTACGGGCCAGTCTTGACAGACTCTAGGGTTGTGCACCCATCTCACTCTAGAGGCCGGGGGCCAGCGCTGTCCGGAGACACTTCCGGGTCACGTGGCCAGCGTGACAAAGCTGCATCTGGCAAGCCAGTGCAGTACACGGAAACGCCGTTTACCTTCCCGCTAGTAAGCGGTCCCTATTTATCTACTTGTACTTTGATGTGCTTTCGAACTGCTAGGTTGGCAGGTGCTGGGACTGAGCAACAGGAGCGCACCCCGCCGCGGGGATTTGAACTGCCGACCTTTCGATCGGCAAGCCCTAGGCGCTGAGGCTTTTACCCACAGGGCCACAGGACATTATGCTGTGCCACAACAAAAACTCATGAAATACTCTGCTTTTGTTTTGTTAACCCTGCCTATTTATTCCAGAGCAAGCACTTGAACCTTGTTAGCCCCTGCCTATTATCAAGAGGAAAACCGTACTGTGTGCACAAGCTATCAAGTTAATAGAACTGAAACAATGTTCTACAACAGGGATGGGGAACCTGTAGCCCTCCAGATGTTGCTGGACTCCAACTCCCATCCAGTCCAGCCAGTCATAGGTTGAACCACAAGATATCCACAATTGTTCCACAGCAACTAAAGACCAATAAACAGTGGAAGGAGCCATGCTCTTTTAGGCTGCAATTCTATCAACTGACATAGGAGTAAGCCCCATTAGGGACATAGGAAGCTGCCTTACATGGAGCCAGAGCATTGGGTCCATTGAGCTTTGCACTGTCTGCATTGACACTGTCTTCAGGGTTTTAAGCAAGGTTCTCTCCCACCTCTATCCGCTCAAGGAATGGAGCTTGGGACCTCCTGCATGCAGAGCAGATGCTCTACCAATGAGCTGTAGTCCCTTTCCATCTCAATGAGTCTGAGTTCAGAGTCAAATCTTTCAACAGCTATTTGCACTGGAATAGTTATATCAGCTTCAACAAGGAATGGAAACCCAACAAGTAGAAATGAAGTTATATGCCACAGAGGCGTGCACACACACAGTCAGGGCAAACCAAGGGTGAGACTGTATGCACCATACAGCATGAACCAGGTCCTTTGCCATGCAGCCACAGTGGACCTAGAGCAAAATATTCATCTCAGTGGTGCTATCAACCGAATACACAGAAAGCTCTCTTCATTTTATCTCGTTTGAAAGAAACAAAGCAGTGACTCTTGATAACATGAAAACCAAGTGTCAAACCCAAACAAAAACAGCCCTTTGACAACAGCCTTTAAATGATGTTACAAATTGCAACTTCAGTAGGGGGAGGAACATGTCTCAGCTGTGAGCAGAGGTAAGATTTCATCTTTGAGCCACAAAGCCATCAAAAGGCATGCAGTACCCCCCATCAGGTGCTTCCGGAACACCTTGACCTCACATTGATCATGAAGTGGTTTTAATACCCAGTTGTCAAGTTGATACAATGGGAACAAACAAGGTTTCCATAGAACTGTGCAACATTTAAATATCTGATTTAAGCACTCTGCAGGGGAGAGAGGAAATCTCTTCCTCCCGCCAGACAGACACTTCAAACTGCCTTGAAATGAAGCCAGAATGAAAATCCACCTTCAAAGTGCAGGATGTGCAGGAATAAAAAACGGTACACAAGAGACAAAAAAAAAGGGATGGGTGGGGAATTAGACAGCATTACCTGGAGTCCTCCTTTACAATGGGAAAGCACCATCATCCAATGAACATAAAAAGGGGGAGGGGGGACCTAGCATACTTCGTAGCGAACACAATTGACTACTTGCAAATATATACACGCTGTCTAACTCTAAGCGCAATGAGCACCAGAACTGTCATTGCTTTTGATCTTATGGGCAACACGTAGTGGCTTTTCTAGAAATCGTTATTCCCTAGGCGATGGAAAAGCTTTACGAGCCACGCGGCATGAAAAGGCCCTCGGTCCTCACATCTCTTGCCGAGGGCGGAGGGAGGCCGTGGCAGCTGCTAAAGAGCCGTGTGGCTCCAGGGAGCGATCCTGCGAGGCAACTCCGACATGCAGGGGCGAATCAAGCGACTCTGCCAAGCGCGGGCAGCTGTCATTGACCTTCTGGGAAAGGGTTCGCGCTGCCGGACGGACTTCCCAGCTCCCCGGCCAGAGCGAGGCCAGCAGGAGGAGGGGCTGGGAAGGGAGCTGCCCCCCCCCCACACCTGGGACAGTGGCTGCGAGGCTGGACTCGCCAGCCTCCCGGGGTCAGTTGCAGGAGAGTTGAGGCTGCTGGCGGAGCGCGAGGCAGATCAGCTCTCCAGCTGCAGCTTGCAGGGGGGTCCGTCTCATCTGGGCTGCAGGGCGGGCGGGATTTAAGGGGAGATCAATACCAGACCTGGGTGGGTGGGAAGAGAGAATAGGGAGGCGAGACACCGAGAGCGAGAGGGTCCCGCTCGCCCCCCGCGCTCCTTCGCCAAAGGGCAGCTACTCACCAGCTGCAGCGTGCAGAGGAAGATGAGCGTGCAGCGCCCCGAGCAGCAGCCCATGGTGGAAGGCAAGTGGGCGAGACGCCGGCCGGCCGGCAGCGCCGCTCCCGCCTCGCTCGAGCGGCCCCTCGCGCTCACCGCATCCGGACGGAGCCCCTCGCCGCCCTCGCCTCGTGCGCCGGCCAAATCCCTTTGTTCGCGCCTCAGGAGGAGGAGGAGGAGGAACGCGAGGAAGAGGCGGCGGTCGTCCCCTCCGTCTCAGCCCCGCCGAAGGCGTTCAGGAGCGCAGCCTGGCCGCCGCCGCCGCCGCCGCCGCCGAGCGAAGCATCCGGCGCTGGCGAAAGCTGAGGGGAGGTGGGCGTGGGGCTGCTGGCGGGGCCGGCGACGCGCGCGCGCCTCTGGAAAGCCAGCCTATGAATGGGACTTCGGAACTGAGGCGCCCGCGGCGGGGGTGGGAATTGCCAATGGTTCCGCGAGTGAAGAGGCGGGAAGGGCTGGCAGCAGGTGCCCAGGGAGTGAGGGGAGCCGAGGGCGGGTTGGTGGCGCCTCGGCGGGCAGCTGGCAAACGGCGAGGGGCGCTCGCCTCCTCGAGGGGGGCTCTTGTCGAGCGAGGCGGGGCTTCTCCAGTTTAGGGTCTCCGAGGGGAAAAGGCAGGAGCCGCTGCCGGGACTCGCGCGCCTCGCAGGCGGCGCGAGGAGCTAAAGCGGACGCCGAGGTGCGCGGGGAAGCGGCGTGATTGGCGCGCTGCTCCTCCCGGGCTCCGAGCCAGCGCTCGCGCCCACCGCGGCTCTCCCCGGGAAAGTTGAACGGCGTGGCGAAGAAGAGAGCCTGATTGGCTCGGAGGGAGAGTGAGGGGCGGGGCGCTCCCGCCCTTTACCCTCGAGGAGAAAAGAAAGGAATGAAGGAAGGTGTCTTGGACAGTACAGTATTCGGAGGGCTCCGGGAAAGCGACGCATTCGGAACGCAATAGCATTATTTTAAAAAGTGTGAATGAGCAAGAAAAAGTGAAAAGTAGCTCTCATCATTCTCTCGGCCCAGCCTATACTTTGTAGGACGGCGTGGTTTTGTTTCAGAAATAGATAAATTTCGTCACTCAGCAGTGCAATCCTATGCCTGCCTACTCAGAAGTAAAGGTCGTTGACTTCCATGGCGCTTTCTCCCAGGAAAGTGTGTCTAGGAATTCATCCTCAGCCAGGAAACATTAGATCAACTTCTAATATCCATTCTAACATGAACCCCCAAACGCAGGGTAAGTGTGGCAATCTTTATAGTAGAAAACTGGAGGTTGATTTTAGGAAGTCAGCCCAGCAGGGGTGCCAACTTGAATAAAATATTGGGGTGGTCCAAGTAAGTCCCACCCCTCCTAATCAATCCTATGACATGGTGGCTGTTTGGTGTTCATTCTTGTGTTGGGTTTTGGTGGATACTTTTATCTTTTTAGATGATTAAAACAACAACAATGCTGTCCCTATATGCCTATTGCATTCTTACTACTTTAACAAATGCTTGGTTATATATTTTCCTTACTTAATTTTATTTCTTGTCCTGTAAATCGCTTTGGGACTTCAGCTGGTTGTGAGAAGCAATCAACTAATTTAATACACCAAACTCAAATAAACTTCTGGGGCAGATGCCTCTGGGAACTGTTTGCTCATGTTTTTATGTGTGATATGCTGTAAACCAGATAAGGTGGCTAAATCTATACAGAGGCTGATACGTTGTGTGCCTGCAGTTCAATGCTTGGATGGTCTCACCTTGGGTATGGTCTAGATGGGCTATGGTCCCTTGGCAACCCTATCAATTTTAGAGTTTCCTATTGCATAAAATATGTGCTGCAAAATCCTCTCTCTCAGTAATTGCCTTTGCTGTCCTTTCATTCCTCTGAACTAATTATTCTGTTGTCGGTCCCGTCTGGATGCTCTGGGCTGGTGCTCCGATTCATAACTCCTTCTCTTTAGCCATTTAGCGGGAGGAGGAGAGTGAGATGGGAAGTTGGGAATTTTTCCATGGCAACGCCTTTGTGCCGTCACCACCAGACGGATTAAGGCGATCACAGGTTCCCGTGTTCAGTTTTGAAAAGACCCCTGGGGAGAAGGGCTTAGCCCAATGAATAATTTAATTTGGCAAGGGTAAAATGAATTGGACTGCTGCCAAATCGAATGCCTGCATAAAAAGATGAGGGGTGACAACCTCTCCTGCCTGAGTCACAGTCCTGAGGGCCTGAACCTCAATCCGTTCAAGTGAGGAGGAGCTTGTCCACCATATTCTAGTAGCTTTAGAACACAATGTAGGACTTCTGCATGGTGTGAAGAAAGTGGATAGGGAGACATTTTTATCTCTCTCCCATAATCAGTGGTGTAGCTAGCCGCTCGGGTGCCCGGTGTGGCACATGTGTCCTGTAGCCAGGGGGTGAGGCGAGCTGCCCATGGGGGCGGGGTGAGCCAAGGCAGGGCATGCTGCGTGGAGCCTCTCCGCAGTCTCCCCCTCAGCTGTAGAGTGGCTGAGGCGGTGGGCAGACACAAGCCCCACACAGCTCGAAAAGGCAGCACAGAGCTTGCAGGCAGTCCACTCGCCACCTCCCCCTCAGGAGAGACGCGTGGCTCAGGCACGCTGCAGGCCCCACAGTGCCCCCCGCCTCACCTAGCTCCAGTGGCGTACGAAATGGGGGTGCGGGAGTTGTTGTTTATTTAAGTGCTGTGAGCCCAATTTTTAAATTTGTTTTAAAAACACATATTTTCACAATTTTGTCACCCCCTCAGTGATGACACCAGGGGCGGCCTGCACCCACTGCACCCCCATTCCTACACCGCTGATCATAATACTTGAGCTCAGGGCCATCCAGTAAAGATTCAGGCAAAAGGACAGAAGGAACTACTTCACACAGCACATATTTAAACTCTAAAATTGGCTCCCACAAGAGGCAATGATGACCACCAACTTGGATGGCTTTCAAAGAGGATTAGACAAATTCATGGAAGACAAGGCTATCAGTGGCTACTAACTGGGATAGCTATGATCTGCCTCTGCAGCTGGGCACTGTGTGCCTCTGAATCTCACTTCCTAGGAACCACAAGCTGAGAGAATACTGTTGTGCTTATGTCCTGCTTGTGGGCTTCCCATAGGCCTCTGGTTGACCGCTGTGGGCATAGGATGTTAGATGAGCATCTTTGGCCTGATCCAGCAGGGCTTTTTTTTATGCTGGGGTTGAGAGTTTGATTGCAAGATTATAAGCCTCCAGCACACTGGCCTTCATTTACGCCACCATTAAAACAAAGTGGTGATCCACAGACCACCAAGCTATCAGCTGTTGGTCTCTGCTGACTCCACCCAATCCAGGTTGGGTGGGATGCTTCAGGGACCAAATATGGTACCAGTCCCTGGCACATTGGGGCAGGGGGAGGAATTGCCAGTCCATCACATCAGAGAGTTTGAGAAGCACTGACTTATGTTATGCATTGCATTTAAGGCCATCACCAGGGACAAATGGTATGAAGAATAGGGAATGATGGAGAAGATAAAAAATGGAAGGGAGGAGGAAAATTAAATGTTGCTAAGCTGCCACACTGTGATAGCGATGGTGAAAGGCTGCTTTTTTGCAGGGGAAGATCAGGTACAGAAGACCCTTTCTACAACCTGAATGGTTAAAATGAGCTGATAAATATGGTTCTCTGTCCACCTGCCCTGTGCAAATATTTTATTTTATATTTTGTTTTGTTTATTAAATTTGTATACTGCCCTATACCCGCAGGTCTCGGGGAGGTTCACAGGATAAAATAGACTAAATAACACTGTTTTCCACACTCTTTTCATGTGGACACAGAAGCCTACCCCATAAAAGTGACATGAAGAAAAGCCATATAAAACTGCAACTTATACAGATATTACTGGCAGAGGTGTACTGTAATAATTCTATGATAGGTTCTTTCCATAGGCTTTCAAAATCCAATACTGTCCTTTAGATACCGATCTAAAGTTTGACAGCCATAATAAGTAGACATGCAAAAGGTATCAGGAACTTTCCAGCTCAGGAAATCATCTCTGTTTGCTGCACTAATTACTTAATTTGAAAACTACAAACTTTCCCAACTTCATAAGAAGCAATCACCTGTAAATCCCTCATCTCCAAAACCTCAAAATCCATTAGCTCTTCTACAACCATGCATGCACAGAGAAGATTTTGTGCCTTTCCTCATTATCCAGCTACAAACAAAAGTCAGGTACAATTCAACTGCATCTTTGTATCTATTTTGATTGTATTTTTATATTTTGCTACTTTTCTTTCCTTCAAGGGAGATTGCAACATGAGAAATAGCCAGCTATACACTTCTCTCTCCCCCCGCCCCCGCTTTCCCTAGAATAAATGTTTTCTAAAGCATCTACAAATTATCATTAGGAGTGGAAGGTAGAGTATAATGATGTATACATAAGATAATTTCACTTTTACTCTCTATCCAATCTCTGAAATGAGTTTTGCATAAAGTAATTTAAAACAGACAGAGTAAACTTGAAGTACATAATTATATGTCACTCTGAAATAAATATATTTTCAGCATTCAGTTTCTGTAACTGAGCACAACAAAAACAAATGTATCTCTTTTGTGTGTGTTTCTTTAATTTTTTTCCCTACAGACCTGTTTTATATTTATATGGAGAGAAAAACTTCACAAGAAACCTCAGCAAAACAAAGTAGCAGTGAGCAGAAGTTAGCACTTAAAAGATTCAGGCAATCTGACCCAATATGGCAGAACTTGAGAGAGGTCTCAGGGATATCAAGAATCGATCCTGCAGTCAGAAGCTTAGTCAATTCCTATGCACCCAAACAGGGTCTTGCAACTGCCAGTGTGAAGTCACAATTCAAATAATGCAGCATCACTATATTGATTCAGATGTATGCCTTTTTCGTTCTCCAACAAGAACTTAGAGAAGAAAAATTATGTTTATTTCAGTAGTATTTACACTAATTATATTAATTCCTTGGAAGGCATATTATATAAAGTGCATACAGCTTGGAATTTCTCCAAGGTCCACAGCCATGCAGCCAGAAAGAAGCACACCAGAATTAGGCATTTAATGAGAAAGCATACATTTACATAAAATTCTCCATGCAAAATGCAAGCATTTTGATGTCAGCATATTTCTCGGAAATGCGGCCATTTGTCAAGCAAATTTGTTTTCATGTACATAGTTTGTTCAGTCTAATGATGAGTCTGGGCTTCCCCTATAAGGAAAATAAGCCAGGGATGTGTAGAAGCTGACTGCAAACTAGAAATAAATTTAATAGGGATTATGTGTTACAGTTAGATGTCACCTCTCCCTGGGCATTAAGACAGCCCCATAATGGTCTGCAAGTGGTCTTCCTCAAGAGCACCACAGCATCTAGTAAATATAGCTCAGCCATTGCTTCTCTGGCAGCTGACCTCAGTCTTTTCCTCAACCTTGCACAGGGCTTCTGCTAACCGGTGTATTCCGTCCAGAGTTGTTACATATGGCCAACAACAGATGTTACCTGTAAGGGCTGTAGCTCACAGGAAGAGCACTTGCTTTGTACACCAGCAGTCCCAAGTTCAATCCCCAGTGTCTCCAGGTAGGGTGAGAAACATCCCAAGTCTGAAATTCTGGAGAGCCACTGCCAGTAATGTCAACAATACTAAAATGATGGTGGTGGTAATTTATATGGCGCCCATCTGACTGGGTTGCCCCAGCCGCTCTGGGTGGCTTCCAACAAGTTAAACTCATTAAGCATAGTAAAAACCAACCATTAAAAGCTTCCCTATACAG